GAGTGTGTCACACAGGCCTGGGATAGATTATCAGGAGCAACCTGAGCAGATGTCAAGAGGGAGATTGCCTGCTTCTTAGCCCAGCATCGGAACGGGCTTACCCATGCCGCTTCCAGACTGGGAAAACTTTCTTACATAGCACAACGTCTCTGATCTCAGACTCCTTGCCTGTAAGATGTGGATAGTAATGAAGGTGCCCAGAGAGACTGGCTCACAAGAACAACCAGTGTTGGTGTGGGTGTGGAAAAAAGAGACCCTCGTCCACTGCTGGTAGGAATGTCATTTGGTACAACCTTTCACTTGATCACTTAACATCCCGTTACTCATCGGTTAGCTCGAGCAGGTACCAATAATGTCTCCGTTCATCCCTGATGCGGGACAGTGTAGCCCAATGCATTTGCTGGCTCCAGAAACACGAAGAGCCTCAAACCGATCATTCATGGTCTTGATGAAGAAGTCTGACCATCTCGTAGGTGGTCGGCCACGTGATCTTTTGACATCCCATGGAATCCAGTAGGTAATTCTCTAGTCCAGCAGTCATCTCCAAATCTCATTATGTGCCCAGCCCATCTGATTTTCGACAGCTTGGCAAACTAAACAGCATCCCTGATCTTCATCATCGACAGAGGTCGTAACTCCAGATTCTTTCTCAATTGAGTCAAGAATGATACTCCAAGTATAGCTCCTCTTTGGGAGATCCGAATAGCGTTCTCATCCTATTTTCATAGGGCCCAGGTCTCTGAGGCATATGTTAATGCAGGAATAACAATGGAATCAAAGAGATGTGCCTGGAGCTGGAGGTTCTTTGTCCTCTTAGCTATTTCTTCGATGCTCTTGAAGGCGTTCCAAGCCACTCTCTTCCTCCTGAGCAACTCAGGTGCCAAGTCATTTGTCATGTTGACTTCTCGACCTAGGTATACGTAACTGTTGCATTCAGACATGTTCATTCCATTGAGAGCGAATGGAACATCAGGAACGAGACAGTTTCTCATAAACATTGTCTTCGTGAGATTTAGCTGTAGTCTGACCTTTCCACAATCACTGTCAAAGTCAGCCAGCATTTGTGCTGCTTGGCTAATGTTTGGTGTTACTAGAATGATGTCATCAAGCAAAGTGGAAGTGGTGTAGATGCCCACCATCTATCTTCACTCCCATTCATTCCCATTCCAGTCATCACATGATGTTCTCGAGGGTGTCACTGAAGAGTTTCAGTGAAATGGTATCACCCTGCCGAACTCTTTCTTGACATGGATCAACAGAGATCCTCTGCCTGCTTCCACCAATCTCTGGCGACTCAGGGATTACACCCAGAAGCCCCATCCTACTGGTACCAGATAAATACCTCATCGGCAGACCTCCACTACCTCCACCACCTCCACAACCCAGCTGCCACCACACTCCAGGCCGCTTTCCTTTGCAGCCATGTGACACATCATAAGATATTTAAAACCCATCTTCCAAGATTACTGCACCATATTTGATGGGGTTCAAATATGGTTTGAACCATGGGAACACCTGCAAGGGCAATTAGAAGCCACCCTAAAAGCCTCTATCCCTTTCGGAGAGCCTGGCAAGCTACCGAGAGTATCCCGCCCACACGGTAGAGGCTGGCAAGCTATCCATGGCGTATCGGATATGCCAAAATCAGTAAATACCAGTTCAACCCTTCTGGAAAATAATATGGACACTTCTCAAAAAACTAAGAGTTTGACTTCCATATAACCCAGCAATCCATTACTCCTGGGAATTTTCCCTAAAGGCACAAAAACTGTACTCCGAAAAGACTTTTGCATTCCTGTGTCCATTGCAGCACAATTCACAATAGCCAAAATCTACAAACAACCTAAATGTCCAAGAACAGATGACTGGGTAAAGAAACTGTGATGCATATACACAGTGGAATGCTACTTGTTTTAAGAAAAGACAAAATCTTGCAATTTGCCACTGCATGGATAGACCTAGAGGGAATCAGGCTAAGCAATGTCACCAGAAACAGGGATGGATTCAGAACAGTCTCTCCCATATATGGGATAAAAAGAAGCATAGTAAGGGAATAACAAATTACCAAAAGTAATGAAATCCAAGAACTGATCTAGAATGGAACCCACCATGGTTGAAAGACTTGTGGCAGGGGAAGGGGGTTGAGGGGAAGGTTATGGGGGGCTGGGAGGAACTTCTGGGGACAATGGTGGAGGAAAATGGATATACTGTGAGGGGTGTTAGAATGTTGTATGCAGGAAACCCTACCATTTACAGTATTGTAAAATTGCAAAGCACAGTGACAAATAGATATTTTTAATAATAATTTAAAAGACAGTTTTAAATTATTATTAAAAATAATAATACCACAACTGCCATTGAGGCGATGTGGAATCAAAGTGCCAGTGTGACCTAGTGATTAGAGCACCTGCCTCACTCACAAGAGACCCTGGTTTGATCACTGACATCAGACATCCTCCCTCCCCCAAAGAAATAGATGCACATAGATGATTAGCACAGTGCCTTGAGGTCCAGGGGATCCCCCACATAAGCACATAAGGACCGAGGCTGGGGACCACTCCAGGAACCAGCCCCAGGTCCCAAGCAAATAAGAGGACACTCAGGACCTGAGCCTCAGATCCCTGTCCCCCACACCCTGTGCTTCCCACAGCCAGTGGGCTGTTGGTGGGCAGTGACAGTTCCTCCCAAGCCACCCTACAAAGGCTCCACGTTTATCTCTTGATCCTTTCAATGAGCCCTTATTGAACTTTTTTTAACCAAACTGGTCCATTTTTGAACTTATTCCAAACAAAATACCTGCCGAGCGCCTGTGAAATTCACAAGGGAGTTCAGCGAGGGACAACAGGGTGTTTGAAGTTTTATAAGGCCAACTCTGCTGCCCCGTGAGGCCTTTTTGATGGGATGACCCAAAAATAACCACCATCTTCATTATTGTGACTGAATTTCAAACACATGTCTGATGTGTCACTTCCCACCTGCTCTCCTGGCCTTCACATTCTCTCGAATGGAAACAAGAAATGCCTCTCCCTGCTGGCCTTCCAGAAGCGGGTGAGACTCGTAGTAGGGTGAGGAAGGGTATCACAGTCTTCACCCTTCTGCAGACAACTATAAACTCCCAAATTGTCTACTTGGAGGCTTACAATTCTTTTCCATCTTCATGCCCTTTCTCCAACAGATTTATTTTCTGTTGTTGGCTTCCCCTCTCTGCCTTCTAAGTGAGTTTGCGAAGCTTCAAGGTGTTCAGGTGCTTCCCTTTCCCTCTCCAAGAGACTTCATTGCATTTTCTGGGCTAATAGAACCCAGATAGTGATTGGCTCAAATATTCAGTATTACTGTGCTCTCTTCTCATCCAGTGATTATTTGACTCCTACTGATGTCAAATGTAGGCGATGCATCTTCCAGATCCTCCCTTAATTTTTGTGAAGAATGGTATTGCATTTATATTTATATTTTTTGAAGATTTTATGGTTCAACACAAGATTCTTTGCAAGTAGAAAAGCTCTACCAGGAATTGGGATGACTTATTCATACACCTAATGGGGCGATTTGTTCCTACATCTACATACTCCTGCAGCCATGATTTTTTCCCGACTAGCTTCATCTGGTTGAGTCAAAAACTTTTTTAGATGTGCACTTTAACTCTTTTAGTGTTACCTGATCATTTTTTCCTATACTGTGTCTGACAGTCCTTCAGTTACTGCTTATTTGATTCCATCTTTGGATTTCTGAACTATGCTCTACCTGCATTGTCAGGGTAATGGCTGTGGCAATGGTTCTGTCTCAAAATAACAGACCTTCACATGTTCTTTTCTCAGAGTTAAAAGTCGTTTTGCTACTAATTTGGAATCTGCTGCATTATAGATGTGCACATATGTGTGTGCATGTAGGTGTGAGTCATTTACGTGCATGTGAAGACGTTATAAGATAGGATAAGACAGTTTCCATTCAGGCATTTGAAAAGTTGGTCCAATGATAGACCCTGTGAATTTTCTTTTATTCTAAGAGGGGTGGGAGGCAGTGTGAGAACAAGAAAGGAACGTATGCAAATCCTGGTCCTGATGTTCTTTCATTGGGCGATTTTTGTTTTTGTTTCTTCGTTTGTTTGCTTCACACTTAGGGTAAAGGAAACACTCAGGCATCCATTAGTTGACTAACAAAGGTGATATATTCTGTTGAATCCTTTCAACTAGAAGAAATAAGCTATGTTTAGCTGCTTAGCTGAAAGGAAGCCAGGAGGCTTTGATAGGTCTAGAATTCTCCTAGAATCCAGGTTGTACAAAGTACAAAGAACAAGCCACACCATTTCCAAATGATACGCTTTTACTATCCTAAAAACCACAACCTGAACTGATAGAGGTTTCTCAGCCCTGTGTGGGAATGTCATTGCCCTTTTGCAGTTGAGCAGTTTTTCTGTCAGCCAACCATCCTGTTGCTCATTTGAAGGGTAGGACTTCTCCACTTAACAAGTTTTATGTTAAAAGATGGCGTTTTCCAAGTCAGAACAGAATAATTTTCCTGGTGGTGTGGTGTCTAGGAAGGCCAAGAAGGACAGAATGCTCACCCCTGCTGAGATCTCCTCCCTGACTCACAAATTATATATGGATTGTACCATCAAGAAAACTGATAAAGATTGCCAAGAAGAAAGAATCTATACTTAGAAGGCATTTCTTCCATTTACTTGGAAGAAAGTGAATCTAAGAACACAGTCAGGGTCAATCCCAAGAAAATCAGGAAGTGAATTACAAAGCCTGATGATCCCTCTAACCCGCCATTCCTGTTGGGAACACTGCCAGTGACCATGGCTCACTGGTGCCCCCTGGCGGTACCAAAACTGTCTCACACTTTACTGCCTAGGGTAAGACCCCTGTAGTAAATGGATGGCAACCCAGTTTCCAGGCATAGAAAACTTCAATACCAGGATTGGAATATGCACATGGGTATTTTTGTTTGATTGTCTAATTTTTTTAAATTAAAGTCTTGATTTTTTTTATGTGCTGTAGGCCAAAGAACTGCCAACTTTAAAGGATAATGATTTCATTAACGAGGGCCAAAAGATCTATATTGACGACAACAACAAAAAGGTGTTCTTGGAAAAACTGAAAAAGGACGTGGAGGTAAGAAAAATAAATAAATAAATAATAAAGGAAGGCCGTATTGGATAAGTGGGTCGACACTGCTGGTTCTGATGAGCTTTTTGAAGCATCTACCTAAAGCTGCAACCAAGGCGAAAAGATACTCTCTGCTCCTGTGGTCTTCAAACCCCTGGTCCACAGATACAGAAAGGTTGAAAAACATCAGTCTGCCACAGTAAGGATTAACTGCCAGGCCATGGGCTGGTGCACAGAACAGGTGCCATTTGCAGGTATAAAAAGGTTGTAGAAACCTGGGCTGCATTATCAGAAGCATATGCCCTATAAACAGCTGTGTCTCGTAGCCTGCGCTGACAAAGAAAAGCACCAGGTCAGCCACTGTCTGCTCTGTCAGCGCTGCTTGGAGTGGATTGATTGCACACTGGAATTACCACCCGTCACAGATGGCTCACATGGCCCTGCTCGTGGCCTGGCCCTTTACCATGTCATTAGTAGGAATATTAGAAGATGTTCGGAATTTTAGGTGCTCTGCAGGTGATTTAAGGGAAGTTCCAGAACCTCTGCTTTAGGCAAGCACCTGCTGTCTGTGTGTGGCTAAGCACTTTCATGCAAACTCACTGCCCACAGCAACCAGTGTCAGGGGGGTAGAGAATGAACCAAATAGTCGGTCAAACAACCGGGCAGCTCAAATACAGGTAGAAGACAGCTATTCATTTGGGGTTTTCTGCCTTTTAATTTTGATCTGGTGTTAAATCCTCATTCAGTTACCCAGCACTTTGAATCTATTTGCTTTCTTTCAACCAGTAAATGGAGCATCACTGTGGGCAGAGCCCCTGGGACGGCTCAAGCCTGGTGGCAAGCACAGAGGCTAGCGTGAGGGCCCAGGGCAGGGGCTGGGCAGAGAGAAACTGCTTGTGAGTACTGGGCTTTCTGCCGAGAATCGAAGGGGTTCTATTTTTAAGGGCCTTACGAATAACAAATATACCATATGCTGCCCTTTTGATTATTAGAATGGTGTTACTGTTTCTGGTGCCATTTTGTTCTCAGAGAAATAAATTGAGAAAATAAACATTTTCATCTTTGGGGTGGGGGGCAGTTGGGGGTAGCCACACCCAGCAGTGCTCAGGGGCTTCTCTTGGAGTCAGGGATTCAAACCAGGCTCATGGTTCTAGTCGCGTCAAGGCAAGCGCTTCACCTCTTTCTTCTCTCACTCTGGCCCAAACATTCTATTGTGAAAGTCTATATTATAGGACAGTACAAAAAGAATTCAGATTTGCAGTTCCCAAGTTTTTCTTCAATGTTAGTTTTGTTTTTGTGTACTTTTATTTCCCTCTTTTGCAATGCTATTCCCGGTGGCCCCCCACAGATCTGCTACGGAGAGGTTCTGGTGGATGATACTCTTTTACATGACATTAAATACAACTAATTTTATTTTAGCCAGAGAACCACTGTCATGCTTTCGATTGTATTCCCCACAAGGGCTGAAGCTTTAAGCTTATTTCCTTTGTGACATTCTTATGGCACTTTCATTATGAGACTCTTGGGTCAAGTGAGTTTATAATTATTTTTAGCTCATAAATGACTTTAAGAAAAAGAAATTTATCGGGGGGGGGGGGTCTGGAGAGAGAGTTCAGGAGGCAAAACAACGTGCCTTACATGCAACTAACCCCAGTTTGATCCCAGCATAGTATGTGGTTCCCCAAAGCACCGCCAGGGGTCACTCTGGGGCACAGAGCCTGGAATAGTCATGAACTCACTTGGTATGACCCATGCTACTCCCAGATATTTTTTTTATCTTTTTAAAATTTAGACATGAGTTTCATTTGATTCTATATTTATTATGTGTTGCATGGATTATGAAATGTTCACCACAGTTAGTCTAGTTAATACTCATCATTAAATTTTTTTTTCTGTCATAAAAATTTAAGATCTCATCTCCTCGCAACTTTTAAATATGCAATATAGTTTTATTAGCTATGGTCACCATGCTGCGCATTCAATCCCTATGACTGACTTCTCACGGGAAGTTTGTGCCTTTTGGTCCTTTTCACCAATTACTTTATCCTGCTTTCTTGGCTCAGAACCTAAATGGTGGTTATTTGTGATGGACACAAATCTGACTTTTTTTTTAAGTGGATAAGTCTTTGCTTTTATCATTTAACATTTTGTCTTTAGTCTTTCATTAATGAAGCGTTTGTTTCTCCTCCGTTGTCAGTCACCCTTATTAAAATACATATGAGTTAAGCATTTCCTTTGGAGTCAACTTGATCTGGTAACTCAGTAGCATAAGTAGACATTGTCTCTTTTGAATTTTTATTCATTAATCAGGAAATCTTTGATCCTGAATAATATTGTTTTAGCAGTTATGGCAAATAACCCTTAGGGTTATCTGTGATCTACCAGAAAAAATGTTTTCATCTTTTTTTTTCTGCTAGTCATATATCACTCTGATATTTAGACTCCAAAAATAATGTAACTGAAGCAGTTCAAATTTACAGTTGAATTACATAAGGATCCTCTTATCCCTTTTGTTGTCTCTAATAATGCCCATGATTAGAGGATTAGGATAGTTTAATCCCACGCATGGCCAAAGCTGTTTTGTTGAAATAGAGACAGGGCATAAAGTGTTCTTTCATTAAGAAATATTCTCAGTGGTTGATAAAAGTGCCTTTAGTTTTTAAATTCATGCAGAAGCATCATTAAGTTTCTAAGCAGGTAATTATGGTGAAGTAGCTTGACATCTGATCTTGATAATGAGGCTAGAATTTAATCGAGTTTAATGTTTTCATCAGTCCATACTTTTCTAATTTAGTTGACGGGCTTGTTTGAATATAGTTCTGTTTCTTTTTTTAATTTGAGGCTTTTTAAAAATTTATTTTATGTTTTGTATTATGCCCAAAGTAAAAGAGGAGTTAAATATATCTGAATAAATCATCTAATTTTTAGGGGCAAAAGGGAAGAGTAGTCACTGGAGAGGCTAGCTGCGTTTCCCCTTCCATTGCCCTTCTAACCTATTCGCCTGCCATGGCAGGGACCTTCCATTCAGATCACTTTGTCTATAACTCAATATGTGAGACTTTTCTCCAGTATCAGTTCTTTATGGAGAGGGAAAATCACTTTGGCCATTTGACCTGCTTGTTCGCCCTCCTCTGCCCCCTCCAACCCGACTGGGCAGGTGCTGTGGGTTTACCCCTCCCATCTGCCTAGCCCTCTTCAGAGTTCTTCAGGTCACAATTTTCCCTCTTCTCCTTTTTTCTGTAAATGGACCCTGACACAGGACTCTAAACAGAATATTATCTGTCGATTAAAATGCAGATGGTATTACTGACGTCAAGAAAGGGCCGGCCACCATCATAGACAGACCTAAACAGATCCCCATGCCCCAGCTGCCCCCCCCTGCCCCGACTCCAGGCTTAAGGCCCAACCTGTCCACACCCGTGTGCCCAGAGACCTTGGTGACCCTCCTCATGGGGTGGACTACAGCAGTTTCTCACAGAACTGAGGAAATCATTCTGAACACAAAGGCCAGACCATGTGAACTGAGGGTCTCAAGGTGCTGGCTGAAAATGAGCTCAATTTCCCAAGGCCCACAGAGGCATCTCTTTCTCCTGAGCCTGCAGGAGATGTGGGGGCTTCCTCCAGGGCCAGGAGGCGAACTCTGGCCCCAGCACATTCCCTGGGGCCTCCAGTTCCCACCAGCCCAGGCCCCCCTACCACCACCACCCCTGCCAGCTCCTACCCATGGTCGGGCTCAGAAAAAAAAAAAATGCAATGCAGTCCCATAGAGCTGCCTGTTCAGAGAGCTAAGCAAGCTAGGAAAAAGCTATTCACTGAATCCGAGGTTACAGAGGCCAGGAAGTAGGGCTGTGATTCAATGAGTTCAATTTCCGACACTGCTGGGTGCAGCCCTGGAGGACCCTGAGCCCAGCAGGGTGACCAGGTGTTCATAAGCACGGCAGGGCCCGAGTGGCACCAAGTCCTCAGACACATGCTCTGATTTCAAGTCACACATGATGACTCAAAATTTGCTTGCATGTGCCAACTCTGGTCTGACCCCGGGCACTGCGTGGTCCCCCCATGCCAAGCTGGGAGCAGGCCCCCTCCCAGAACTGCCTGGTATGACCCAAACCCATCCCCCTCAAAAAAAAAACTGGAGGTGCTGCACAAGGCCAGCACTGAACCCCCTTAGAGACCCCCAAACAGGCCCAGGAATGAAAAGGACTTGCTGGGGGAGGCCAAGCTCAGAAGCGGGAACACAGGAGCCTCTCAGAACTTCAGCCCCTAGATGCATGCAAATGTGAAATTAGGCACGAGGACCACCAGGTTCCCAGGGGAACCGCATACCCCACGGATCGGCCAATCACCCGGTGCTGCCCCACAGGCCAGTGTCCTCTTGGAAGCTGATGGACCCCCAGAACCCTTAGCGGGCTATTTGGGAAACAGCACGGGAGGGTCCAGTCACAGCCTCTCATCCTCAAGTCTCTGCCAGGCTGGACCGGGTAGGGCTCAGCCATTGGGTGAGCAGCGCTCGGGGTCTCTGTTCTGTACCCCCTCCTGGGTGGGACCCCTCTAGAAGCTGCACTTAGGCCTCACCCACTGTCCAATGTTGGCTGCTCCGGGATCATTCCTGGCAAGTTCAGGGACCATATGTGGTGCTGGGGGTCAAACTAGAATGAGCTGTGTGCAAGGCACTGTTTTCTCTCTCTCTCTCTGACCCCCATCTGCGCCCAGCCCCTACTGTGTGCATTGTTGTCCAGAAGCATTTTCTTTCATGCAGTGGGGACAGCGGAAGGCCTAACTGAGGTGTCTGTTGATCTGCAGTTTCTTGCCCAGCTGAAGCTCATGGACTACAGCCTGCTGGTGGGAATCCATGACGTGGAGCGAGCAGAACAGGAGGAGGTGGAGTGCGAGGAGAATGAGGGGGACGAGGAGGGAGAGAGCGACAGCACACACCCCGTGGGGACCCCTCCCGACAGTCCCGGAAATACGCTCAACAGCTCCCCTCCCTTGGCTCCTGGAGAGTTTGATCCCAACATCGATGTGTATGGAATTAAATGCCATGAAAGTAAGCTGAGCCCTGAAGTGCCCTTTCTTCCCGGGAGGGGGTTTGTAGCTGCCACTCTCACCCCCGTTCCACTTCAGAGCACACGGTCAAGCATGCTTCAGTCCTCCAGAGTCCCAAGAAGTTCACTGTGGGGTCCCGGAATATGTTAAAGCATCAGAAATGTAAAGGAATGTGGCCCTTGAGTTTTGTGATACCAAGGGAAATTTCTCTACATGCAGCATTTGTGGAGACAGAGAAATAACATTAATGTATATAAGAAATGCTTTAAAGCAATTTTTACCCCCTAGCAATCTTTTATGGTGACTAAAATGTGACAGATCTTTGGGGACAGAAAAAGAGTGCAGAGGTTAAAGGTTACCTCAGCCCTCTAACCTTGACTCTGATTTATTCCTGAGCATACCTATGGGCCTCATTGCACTACCAGGTTAGCCCCTTAGCACAGAGCCAGGAGTAAGCCCTGAGCATTGCCAGTGTGACCCCAAAAGTAAAATGTTACAGACCCCTAGGACTAAGTACATGCCTGTCTGCTCCATTCCAAGTCTTATTTTGTCACTCTTTGGGGCTAGGAGCTAGTGACCAGGATCTGGACAGCTGGATAGCACAGTAGACGGTCACATTCTACTGTACCTACCTACTTATTTTATATTCAAACATAACATATGTGGATATCAAGATACTATGAAAGCAGACCTGTTGTTTTCATAGTGAGGAAATAGTGATTTATCAATGATTTTTTAAATCCTGTGGCCCATCTGCCAAGTTAATTTCATATTTTGCCAGGTTGTTTACTTAACACACAAAATATGAGATGAGATGTGACCAAATATACTTTCTTATTGCTCTTTACTGAATCATCATAGTTGTGGAATTATTTAGAAGAGAGATTCTAATTATTTAGAATCATGAACAGTTCTACATAGTGATGAAATAAATAGGGATTACAAAGCATAATAGAGTATTTTGGCTTATTGTTCACTTATTTGGGGCTTGGGGAACAACATCCAGCAGTATTCAGAACTTATTCCAGGCTCTGTACTCAGGCATCACTCCTGGAGGGCTCAGGAGATTGAACCCGGATTGGCTGCATGCAAGGCAAGCAACCTACCCACTGTTCTATCGCTCTGGCCCCAATATAGAGTATTTTTTATTTGTTTGAGCAGTGGTGGTCAGGGGTTACTCCTGGCTCTGCACAAGGGAATCACTCCTGGCAGTGCACAGGGGACCATTTGGAATCCCAGGGATGGAACCAGGGACACCAGCATGCAAATGCCCTATCCTCTGTACTATCACACTAGCTCCAAGAGTATTTCTTAAACTGCACATTTGTCTATCAGAGCAAAACATATTGTGAAGGAAAGTACAGATGAACCCACAAAATAAGAAATGTCATTATTGAACCTCTGCAGTTGACACCCTGGGTTCTTTCCTTTCTAAGACTTTTTTAATGGAGAGAAAATTGGGCTCAAAGAGTGGAGTTGGGATACACGCCTTGCGTGAGTTGACCCTGGCACTGCATGCCTGCTGCCCCAGCCCCCAGCAGTACTGGACCTCTGCTCTGGTGGTCTGCTTGGCTGGTGATACTCGAGAGTGGTCCCCAGGACCCTTAAGAACTAATTGGGAGGTCCTTCCTCCAATCAAAGAGATTAAAAAAAAGGGGGGGCTGAGCCATCAGTGTCATAAACATAAGCATGGGTGACTTTGAGAAAATGTCCTTTGCTTTTGCCACATGACAGGGCTTTCGTCCCCCTACCTGGCCTCCTCAGCCTGAGCACACTGTCCCTCCAGGGTTGTCTGTCCTTTGAGCCACACTCATCTCTTATCCTTTGCAGACTCGCCCAGGAAGGAGGTGTACTTTATGGCAATTATCGACATCCTGACTCATTATGATGCAAAAAAGAAAGCTGCGCATGCTGCAAAGACTGTTAAACACGGGGTAAGTGCCTGGCCAGTGGGGTCCCTCCCTGCTCCCTCCTTGGTCCTCCCTGGCCCAGCCCAGTTCTACCCTTTTGCACGAGGGCCTCATTCTCTGTGGGACTCCAGGCGGGCTCCGTGAACTTTTGGCAAGTCACTTAAACTTCCCCTGGGAGTATGCAGGCATCAGTTGGATATTTGGCAAATTCTTTTTTGTTGTTGGAAAATGTTTCAAAGATAAGCATCTTCCAAAATGCTCAGAACCAGAGCGCTGGGACCCGGCACTGCAGACACTTCCAAAATACACAGGATTATATTTCTTTTCTAACTGTGACTGGTACTTTTTCCTATTACAGGACTCTTGAGGGCCAGATCAGAGATTTTTTGGGGTATTTTTGCTTTTGGGGTCACACCTGGCGATGCTCAGGGGTTAGTTACCCCTGGCTCTGTACTCAGGAATTACTCCTGGTGGTGCTTGAGAAACATATGGGCTGCCAGGGGTCGAACCCATGTCAGTCATGTGCAAGGCAAATGCCCATCCCACTGTGCTATCGCTCTGGCCCCTAGATCAAAGTTGAATCATGTTGAGTTTCTCACCTTCATTGGGCACACCCAGAATTGGCCAGCCCATTGTGGAATCCCTGAGGCAGCACCCTCCACATAAGCCACAATAATGGGTCCCAGCTGATGGATTGAAGGAAGGAGAGCTTAGAGCAGCTTTCCAGGGTTCCAACACTTGAAGGTGGTGGCGATAGCTTCTTGCCTAGGGGTGTGGAAGGGTTGGGGGTGGGGAGCAGGGCTCACTCTGTGTTAGCCCTGTCCCCTTTTCCCCACCAATTACACTTAACAGCCCACTTCATGGCATCCATCTTATGGGTCTTGTTGGGCACCATTCCAGCTCATTCACACAAAGGACAGTTGCTTCTCCAGCAGAGTTTAGTGAACTGAAGCATAAAACTCTATTAATGACTTTTTCTCTGGGGCCAGAGAGATAATACGGGGGTTAAGGCAGTTGCCTCTCATGGAACTGTCACTGCTTCCATTTTCATCACCACATCCACCCCCCCAACCCCCACTCCACCTCCCCAAGCACCGCCAAGGGTCACTCCTGAGTACAGGGCCAAGAAGAGTCCCTTAATACTGCTGGGTATGGCCTGTCCCCCACCCACGTTCAAAAAAAAAATTTCTATTTATTTCTGAACCAAATAGGCTTGTCTTTCCAGCAGTGGAATCAGCCTCGAACCATATCCCATTTGCCATAGAAATATTTCAGTGACAATATCGGCAACTCTTTGTAGATTTCTACTGCTTGCAGAGCACAGACCAAGCCCTCACTCACCAAGTTTGGGGAGCACCTTAGAAATTCTGCATCACCCAGAGTGGAGAGTTTGAGGGAGGATCTTTCACCACAGCATCCTGGTGAAATATGCGCATCAGGTCATACCACACCCTTTTCTGGGCAGTGCTGGAGGCTGAGAGCGCTCTCCACAATTCCTGGCCTTTATGAGGCACAGCCTGGTTGAAGTCACTGGAGAATGCAGAGACAGAGCCAAGCTTGAATCCTAGTCCACATCTCCCAGATGTGGCCCTGAGAAACCACCTGGGAGCAACACGTCCTTCAACTGGCAGAGCTGGTGGGAAGAGGTGGGGAGCAGAGTTGGGGTGAGTGGGGGTACATGAAGTGTGTAGGCTGAACCCTGGGGCCTTGCCTGGCCTTGGTTCCCATGGCCCCTCTTCCTGCTGTAAGATTCAGAACAAAGAGTACCATAGCAAACATCTGGTTCAGTCACCCCTGTAGATAGCAGCTCAGTGATGCAACAGAGTACACTGCATGGCCTAAAGTCCGGCAGAGTACACTGCATGGCCTAAAGTCAGGCAGAGTACACTGCATGGCCTAAAGTCGAGCAGAGTACAGTGCATGGCCTAAAGTAGGGCAGAGTACACTGCAGTGCCTATAGTTGGGCAGAGTACACAGCATGGCCTAGAGTTGGGCAGAGTACACTGCATGACCTAAAGTAGGGCAGAGTACACTGCATGGCCTAAAGTCATGTGAGGTTTGCCAGGTATTACTCTTAGCAAAGGAGTCTTTGTGCTTAGTTGCTGCTGGGATCTGCTCAGCCTGCAAGGGGATCTGAGCAGCCCAAACCAGGCCGTCCTCAGTGGCTGTAAGTAACACTGGGTACCTTGGCGCAGCTCTGGCATTCCGCCTCGCAGCTCAGCCGGAACCACCTGGGCCTGCCTACCAGCTCCCAGCCTTCCCGCCAGCACCCCTGACTCCAACCCCCTGCTCCTGCAGATTCCTAGGAAGTGGGAGTGACTCCCCGAAACCCCTTGCTCAGGAGCCAGCTCTTGTTCCCCTGGGTAAAATGCATTCCTCCGTGTTATGATGTCTGGGGCAGCTGAGACTGTTCCCCCATGTCCCTGTCCCCAAGTTTCCTATTAACCAAATATGGTGCCAGTAATGTCAAACTATGTCCAAGGTCCATCCTTGAGGCATCCAGGAGATCATACAGCAAGTAGGGTACCTGCCAGTAAGCACACACCCAACCCAGGTTCAGTCCCTGGCTCCACACAGTCCCTCAGGCATCACTGGGTGCAGCCCTGGAGGCCCCTCAAGCACTGCCAGGGGGTCCTCGCCAATCCCTGGCACCGAGGGGCCTGATCAGCACCACAGTCATGGATGCATGCATTGAGTTGCCATCCTGGTTGGTGATAATTGCTGGTACCACTTGGGGATCCTCCCCCCACAAAAGATAAATCCCTAAGGAGAAATGTCCTCGTGACTTCTAACCACAGCCCACATGGCTAGTGCGACAGCAGCCGGAGTGGATGCGCCATCCAGGTGCTGCCATCATTGGTTACTCAGCACTACTTCCTGGCCCGGGTTTGTGTGTCACAGGCCAGAAGGCCACACGGGCCTGCTGCTCTTTGCTCTGTGTGGCCTCCATTGACAGTAACGATACCTGTATTCCCTCTGCTCTCACACTGCACAGGCTGGTGCGGAGATCTCCACCGTGAACCCCGAACAGTATTCCAAGCGCTTTTTGGACTTTATCGGCCACATCTTGACGTAACCTTCTGCCGGGCCATGGACAGATGTGGGCTTGGGAAGGACAGAGGTGGCTTCGGTGTAAGAAGAGACAGAAACCAAACTCCGCGAAGCACACCTCCTCGTTTACATCTTCAGGCCAAGAGGACTGGCGGGGGGGCGGGGCGGGGGGGGGGGGGCGGCTACTCGCATAACAGCATTCCCAGCAGCAGCGTTCTAGCTCTTTCTGACTGCGGGCGGGCAGGCGGGCGTGCAGGCCTGCGGCGAGTTCGATCCTAACCATGAATTAATTAACTGATGAGACTCGAGCAGCTTCAGAGTGCGGGGTGGGAGGGGGTGGGGGGTGGGCAGCGACGCTGTAACTCCAGCCATGGCCGAGTGAATGAATGAAAGGGAATGAATGAGTGAATGAGATCTGCGGGGGTGGGGGGCGGGGGAGAAGGCCATGCATGTCAGGCCAACCCTGTTGGCTTCACACAATAAACTGTGGATCGGTTTATTGGGGGGGTGGGGATAGAAAGATGTGAGACAGTATTCATAATAATAATGAAGATAATAATAATGAAGATAATAATAACGATGGTGATCCCAAGGAAAACAACGTCCTGCAGATGTCGCCCCAGGCCACCCGTGCTGATATTCCTTACTAGTTACGTCCATAGCCCCCAGCCCTGGCCAGAGGGCAGCTGCCATCTCCCCCTGGCACAGGTCCTCTCTCTGAGCCCGCCCTGAGCCAGGACTGCAGACATCAGGGACCTGGTGTCCCTCCTCCGGCCAGACGCTGCTGCCCTCGCTGACACTACCTTTTCACCTCAGAGAATACATCCAGGAAAAGCGCTTCCTTCTCTTTTCTGGCCCCCAGCTTCTTTGTCATTGTTCCTTATGTTGCAATATAGGAGTTACTGCTAAAAGTCGAAAATAAAGCTGACCTGGAAAGTGCATAGTTTTGGGCAATGCTATGGACATCTCCCCCTGGACGGAGGGTGAGCAAATCTGTCCACCTCCCCATTCTCCTGTTGGCGATGGCGGCTCTGAATTATCTGATGTTTATGTTGGACCATTGTTGACACGGTGGCATTTGTCATCCCTTGAATGGAAAACCCCCAATTTTACTGTTTACATTATTAGGAAAACAGGGATATTTTTGAATCTAAAAATTTAATGTACAGCATGTAATTTTTTGACGTTTACATGTAAAGTCATTTTACAGAGTAGGTGAAATAATGTTCGTCTTACTTTGAAATGTGCCCCGCGGGTCATGTTTTGGGGTGAATGCTTTAGTCAGCGGACTGGGCAAGCCGTCTTCTATGGTCAGTGGAAAGGGTGGTTTTGTTTCACTCCAGGTGTCCATTTATCAACCTGGTTTTATTTTTTTAATGTTTAACCCAAATCTGATTGTGTAAGTTCATTGCCCTCAACTGTGCTGTTTGTGTTTTAATCAAGTTTTAAGTTTCCTGTATCCATCAAGTATTCACCAACTTTTCTGGCATTTTCCAAAAGGCGTCAAGCTCAGATATTAGACTTGCTTAGACTAGGCGATTCACTCATACACTGTGCTAAAGCTGTGCCTTTGAAATTCTTCGTTTAAAACCGGAGATGATTTTTGTAGGCAGTTTCAGAAGAGGAAAAAACAAAAAGAACAACCAAAACCCTGCCCTTCAGGAATGACGGAACCACAAGATGGGTTCCTGCCCTGCTGCCCCTCCCATACCTTCTCTTCAGGGCTGCTCAAGCCTGACTCACCGGGATAGAGGCGGGTACTGGGGGTTGCATAGCCCATGTCTGCCGGGTTCCAGAAACCCACAGAAGTACCACCTCTGCCTCTGGAAGCCAGCAGCAAGGCTCTGGTACCTGCCTCTCCTGATGTCCCATTTCATTATCCGCACCCCTGCCTGGGAGGTGACTGTCCCCACCCTCGAGACTTACTTGTGTCTTCCCCGCCATTCCTTCGGGCATGGAGTCCCAGGCAGTACTCTGAAGTGATTCTGTGGTTTCTTCCACCCCAGATAGCAGAAGGAAGTCCCTGAGGTAAAGAGCAGGCGCGTTACATGGACACGATTTGAGTAACCTGTGGCCAATCTTTGTATGCTTCTAGAAGTTTACAGAATGCTTTCTTTTTTGTCTGTGACAGTTTCTGTCATCCATTTCTGTCAAGAAACCATGTGGACAGAGGGAGGAAGTTTGCCTTGTATCTCCTTGTGCTAACAAGACACTCCAGTCAAGAGCCGGGCTTTACAAAATAAAGCACTTTGATGACTCACTGGGCAGAGCTCTGTGGTCCTTTCTCTCTTTCCCTTGCTTTCTCTCTTGCTGACATAGTTCCCATCCTTTGTGCTTGAGCATCTGTGGTTGAGTCTTGACAACGTGAAAGTAAAATGCAATCTTTATACTAAAGAGTGCCTCCAACCTATTTCATTAGTAAATACAACCTCAAAAGTTAGTCTGTCTTAGTAGGCTTAAGTCTTGGTTGACCCAGCTGGGGGTGGGGAGGTCGGGAGGCATATAGAGACAGTGGTTTACACTATAGATGCCATAGTTTCCTCAGTCCAGAGCAAACACCCCCAGACTACACCTGCCTACATGATACTAAATGAAATAAGCTCTCACCAAAAGACAAATACTTTATGGTTCTGCTTATTTGAAATAATCGACAGTGTGTCTTCGAATCAATTAAAACAGTGACTAGGAGGCTGTGACTGCTGGGATATAGCAATTATTTTGTGGAGACTTTGGGTTTTGTCAGATGAAGAGTTTTGGAAACCGCACAAGTGCGAAAGTACTTAATGCTACAGTACCATGTGCTTAAGGAGGGCTAAAGGCAGTAACATCTTGGCTTTGGGTGTTGGGCCTGGGGGTGTTCCGGACGTTCCTGGATCTGTGTTCAGGGATCAATCCTGGCAGGACTCAGGGAACCCAGTGCAGTGCCTGGGATCCAACCGAAACAGCCACATACAAGGCAAGCACCTTAATCGCTGTACTCTCTTCAATCCATAGGTGATAAATTTTGTCAGGTATATTTTTAATCACAGTTTTTTAGAAAAAGGAACAATTAGACCACTCAAACCAGATGGATCTGTTGACGATCAACTAGTGGTAACCTAGTATATTTGTTCTCAACTGGAGGTAACAAATTATCCCCAAGTTGAACAGCTTAAAATAACAGAAGTGCAGTGCAGCTCACAGGGTGCCTCTGCCCAGACATGGCTCTCACCTGGAAGGTGCATGAGGAAGGTACTCACATGGGTGCTGGCAGGCTCTGGTCCTTGTTGGCTGACAACAGTCTCAGGTCCCTGCCAAGTAGGCATCTCCAGAGTGCAGCTCACTGTGTGACAACTGAATTCCATGGCGCGTGCAAGAAGGAGAAGAGGGTGAGGAAGATGGAAGCCAGAGTCTTGTGGCAGCCTAATCTGGAAAGTGATTATCTCCTCTGTCCTACCATATTCTGTGTGTTAGAAGCGAGTCCCTATTCCAGCCTACACTTGAATGAAGGGGATTAAGCCAAGGCATGAATACCAGGAGGAAAAGTTCCTGGAAGGACGCCTGCCAAGCCTCATCAAATGATTTTACTTTAAAGAAGAAATCTTCAGGGCCTCCAGGCAAAAAGATAAGAAATTATTCCGTGGCAACCAGTCAACAGCATTCTCTGTAAAGCTAAGAAAGTCTGACTCAGAAATTATTATTCAGCCAGGTACCAAGGCTATCAAAAAGTAGTCCTGTGTGTGCAAGATTTTGGCAACTATTATAGGTGCCTTGTCCAGGGAATCTGTTAAAGCATGTGCATTAGTTTTGTCTGGAGAAGCAGAGCAGTAAGATTGATATTTAGGAAGAGACTTGGAGTTGGCTTCCACAGCTACAGAAGCTGGGGAGCCCCATAATGGACCATCACCTGCAAGCTGGAGACCCAGGAAAGCTGCGGGGTTCATTCTGTTCCAATCTGAAGGCCTGAGAACCAAGAGCACACAGGGCAGAGAATATCCATGTCCTGGCTCCCAGCTCAGGAGACCTGGCAGGGAGGAGCCAATTCTTTCCTTTTTCTGTTCTAATTGAATCCTTGTAGATCAAATGCTGCGCATCTGCATAGCTGAGGGTTTTCCTGAACACCTCCCTCCCCATTCCAGTGTTTTATCATCCCGAAATGCCTCATAGACACAACTAGAAAGAACATGGAGATAAATATCTGAGCCAGAGTCTGGGGAATGATTATCTCCTCCCTCCTACCATATTCTGTGTGTTCGAAGTGAGTCCCTATTCCAGCCTAAACTTGAGGGGATTAAACAAAGGCATGAATACCAGGAGGAAAAGATCCTGGAAGGCCACCTGCCAAACCTCAACAAATGATTTTACTTTAAAGAAGCAATCTTCACAGCCTGTGATGCAGTCAGATTAACAGGGGAAAAAATCATCTCCACAAACAAACACGCATTCCTTGGGTCCCGTGTATGGCTGTGTTGGCATAGCACTGGGCAACAGCTAGGACAGACCTAGCAGATCAACTCATAGGCTCCTTAGTGGAAAAACTCACCTACTCTTGCACCCAAGGACAGCTTTGTCCAGTAAGAGATGCTTGGGAAAAACTTGGGTGATAAGGTGGATGGTCACCATTTCCTCTGTTTATTTCAGTTAAGGCTTATTTAAAAATGGGGTTATGAGCATAGGAATATTGATATAGAGACATTCTATCTTCTGAAATGGTAGCAACATACCACCTTTGAATGGAACAGGAAGGGAGAGGAGAGTAGAATACAAGATTTTGTACTGCTAAGTAGTGAAGACACCAGATACCTGTTGATACAGTAAAAGAGTAAGCAATGAAAAGGGAAATGTGGGGCCAGAGCCATAGAATGGCAGGTAGGGTGTTTGCCTTGCATGCGGCCAACTGGAGTTCAATCCCTAGCATCCCATATGGTCCCCTGAGCATCATCAGGAGTAATTCTTGAGTGCAGAGCCAGGAGTAACCCCTGTGCATCATCATGTGTGCTGGGATGGGCTGGGGATCTAGCTCCAAGGATTCCCTTGGGCTCTCTCCACTGCCTCATCTCCAAGTGCCCACCCTTCCTTGGCTAGCTGAGCGTTCCCTGGAAACTGCTTCTCCAAGATGCCTCCTCATTTCCTGCCTGCTTTCCAGATGCTTTCCAGTGCCCCCTGCTCCAAGC